CGGTCTGCCCAGGCTTTAAGTACCTGAAGGACGCCCTCCCCTTGGTTCATACTTTCGGAGCATATGCCCTTTTCCTCCGGTACTATGCTAATAAATATAACTATATAATAATAACTAATAATATAATATAATAACAATACAAATATTTGAATATAAACTAACTATTCTATACTACAATTACACTATGTTACAATCTACTTTGTAACAATAATTTCAGGTTTTATTTTTAATTCAAAAGTATTTCAGGTTAATTCAGGGTATGAAATAATTTTGTTCTTTAAAACCCGATATAATTTTGTCAGCATGTATAGTAGCATATAGTTCAGATACTGTGACAAATAGAAAGTTCAAGAAGATAACCTTCAAGATATAAGGTATATAAGAGATTGTAAATATTATAAGGATCAAATATAAAGAATGATGTGTCAAGATGGTTGCAAGCTAGTTTATCAGCTTTGTTGTTAAATATATTGTTCTGGTGTGAATTTATCAAATTTATAACTATCACAATAAATAAATATTATGGCTAAAGCTGGAAATTAGGAACCTTGATTTAAAAATAAAAACTCTACCAAATCCACTTATACTCTTTTATTATTAAACCTACCACTAGACTCTAACCTAACCCTAAAAAAAACCCCCCTAACAAAAAGGCCCAAAAAAATTGTTAAAAATTTCATATTAAAATAATTAAAATTTCTAGTATCAGTTATTTCTAGTATCAGCCATGACAATAAATTTTATAACTGTGTACAACATTTTAAACATGACAATTTAACACTTCATTCACGTGCCTAATATCGATTAAATATGCCTGTAAACCGTAGTAAACAATAACCTATGTCATAGCATTTTTTCTATATAACCTTGGTCATATAATCATATGAATTTTGGTCATGGTCATATCGGTCATATTAAATGCTAATAAAAAATACTTTTACTATGACTCTTACTATATTAAAAAAGGTCATAAGTCATATCAATCTTCAATATGACCGAATGACCTATAATAGTCATAAAGGTCATACAGGTCATTTAGATCATAGGCCAACCTGTAGTAAATAAATATATAATTAATATAATATATATATAATAAAATATATATATATATTTGATATATTAAATAAATTTATACCGTATGCCACTGCTTACAGTACCCGGGGTCTTATTTAAGAATTCCATTTTTAAAATTGAATAGTACCCATGGGTACTGTATGAAGAACCGGGTACTATATCTGGGGATATATCATATTAAAAGTAGTGAATCATTATAGTTATACCACCGGGTCTTATTCAAGAAACAGGTTGGTAGTGATGGTGAATAATACCCGGGTCTTAATCATGGGGTATTATTTTTGGGGGATACTGTAGGCATACGGTAATTCTTTGTAATCAATATATAACTATATAGTTATATAGTGTTTTTTTCGGGAACAGAAAGTTATTTATTAATTTGTATAAGTTAATAAGTACAAATAGGAAAACAAGGAAGAAAACTTATAACGATGTTAATAATGATAATAAATTCAAAGGAAAAAAAAAGAATATGGTGGTAAATTCAAAGAAAAATAATTTAGAAAAAAAAAAAGAGTTCCTGCTCAAAGAACTCGGGTACACCTTCATACAGATTGTGTTCACAACAATAGATTCAGAGAAAAAAAAAGTGACATGGTAGTAAATTTGAAGAAAAAAATGACATGGCGGTAAATTCGAAGAAAAATACACATGGCAGTAAATTCAATGAAAAAAAAAAAGACAAGCGGTAAATTCAATGAAAAAAAAATGGTAGGAAAAAAATGGTCAGACCCAATTACTGAGCCGTTAGGGCATAACCCTAGAGCCGCTCAGGGCAATTAGGGCGCGCACCCGCAGGCCATGCAGGCCCGTTTGAACACTTAACAAGTTCAAAAAAGCAAATTTATAAGTCACAATACACATATAATACTTTGAAATATATATGATTTTATTGATTAAACTCTAGGTTAACATTAAGCTCTAGGTTAATATATTATTCTACGTATCAGTATGCTAATCTATACCAGGTAAAACATGTGAAAATATCAACGAAAATATCAATGAAATATCCGTATACGTAACACATATGCACTTGTAAATGATATTAAGATTACTTAATATGTATCATAAATACTATTATACGTACGTATTTAAGTAACAAATTTCTAAATTGGTATAAAGGCTAAGAATGTACATATTAAAAAATAATAACTAAATTTGGCATTTATTTTGGGTGGTAAAATATGTTTATAGCGGAAAAGTCTGTGCTATAAATATAGCCTTCAGGGTATTTGTCACTACCGCCTAGTGCAATAACAATGAAGACAAAAAATTGAGAGACATGAATAAAGAAATGAAACAATTCTTTATAAAACTATTAACTTACATTTTGCGTCTTGTGGAGGGACACCACCTTTAGTATTGGCACGAATGTTATAGTTAACATCTTTAAATGCACCATCTCCTCCGTTACCCTACAATTGTTAATAAATAAATACCGTAAACGTAATGATAATGAAGATTTTTAATAGGATTTATATAATTACACTAGCTGATTCAAGTCCATAAGGAAAATCACATTCTGGGTCAGGTGACGGGGTTGAATAAACATTAGTTAAAACCACATATGAGGTATCACATTCTGGTATGATAGACCTAACACCAGTTGCGCCTAATTGGTAATAAACATTCTTTTTAACATTTATACGTATATACATATTAAAGCATAACTTATGTACTGATACGTATTGCTGCCATTCCTAATTCAGTAATTACTGAATTAGAGGTAACATTGCTGGATTATGAATTTGACCAGAATTATGATCAAATTCTTTATTAGCAACGTCTCAAGTACTATATTGTTACATACCTGAGACTTCATATGATGAAGCCACAGCTGAAGAGGGATCGCAGGATATATCACTTTCATCATTATAAAATAATACACGACCTTCGTCTAATAATTATATAATAGTATATATATATATAAGTATTATAATTGTCTAAATACGTACAAATACATAAGTACATACCAACTTGCCAGCTGCCACTAGTACATATATACCAAATGTATCCTTTAACGTATAAATGAAATTTATAGCAACTGCCATCTGGGACAGTAACATTTTCCACATTTACACCTGTTGGATATACTTTATTTATTTGTCAGAAAGAAATATTATAGATTATTACGTGAGCTACAGTACTTAATTGATATTACTATTATATATTTTGAATAATATTTACCATAATTTCCGATTGATTTAGAAGAATTCTTAGATGGAATAACACCGGCAAACGAATAGCTTACACCGAGTAAAAGAGTAACCAAAGCAGCAAGAAACCCTAATTTTACCATCTTGATAAACTTTTTCTTAAATCTATGTAAAATATTGTAAAAAAATTAAATAACAAGGACCGTCACGGGCATGAGTTACGCGATTAGATATCAATTAAACATCTAAAAATTTGGATTATAGACTTAGAACGTACTTATTGAAAGTTAATTAAAAGATTACAAGATTTGGTGAAGTTCAGCATCGAGGAAATTTCAAGCCTTTTTATATTTTCGTCTTGGAACATGAAATTCAAAGTTTGAAAAGACAACAACGCAAATTAATTATAGTGTCACGATACTTTGCAAACAAAAGTAGTTATCGTAGCATTTATCGTAATCAACCCCTATGCCTGTATTGAATTTAATTATTGCAGTAGTGGTATTGCATTTAACCCTTAACTTTCGATTATCGCATTTTATTAGGAGTGCAGCTAGGTTTGGAACATTTCATGGGTAAAAGCAATTGACTGTACTATATCATATATGAGTAAATCATAAATTTCGTGAAAAATAAAGTATGAATGTCGGAAATTAAATTTGAAATTCAGTATAATTAATGTCGCAGCTGATGCTGAAAACGGCTGATGCTGAAATTTTTTCATATTTTATTATAAAATTATAAAAAAT